CCCCCCGGCCCCTGGGCACCCCCCCCGAGTGCCTGGCCACATTATGGCTTTATTTCTTCCTTAACGCCCCCATAAAATGGTCTCTCGGGGCACCAAAAGGGACCTTTCTGTTGGCTGAGGGGATAAAGCGTGCCCAAAGGGGGCTGAGCCCCTCTCACACCCGTCTGAGCCTGGTCCCTGGGTGAAAGGGGGGGTGGCTCCCTGAGGAAAGAGCTTGGGGTTTTGGGGTCTGTGGGGGTGGGTGATGGTTCTGTTTCTCTCTGTCCCCACTTAGATCTCGGCTCTGAGGCAGAACGGCCTCCTGCAGGGTTTTGTGCAGGGAGCGGGGCAGCCTGCGGGTGCTGGTGAGCTTTTCTTTGCTTCCCTCGTGTTGATCCCAATGTTTCCTGGCAGGGGAGACACCTGGGGAGTTCAACGGGAGCCCGGGGGATCCAGCGCTGGGCTCCCAGGCAAACCTGCCAGGCTCCAGATCGGCAAAGCCTTCCCCTCGCTTTGCCCCAGACTTGCCAAAGAAGAAGCCGAGAAGGGCAAATCCTGCCCCGAGATGTGCTGGGGGGGAGGAGGGAGCAAACAGCCCCCAGGGTCTCCCAGCAAACCCTAACCTCCAGCCTTTCTGTTGGCAGAGATCAGTGAGGAGCTGCGGCGAGCCCAGGAGGAATGGGAGGCTGTGGAAGAGATCCAGTCAGGTACAGCCGAGGCCTGCAGTGCTGGGGATAACGGGGAGCATTACGGAGTTGGACAGAAAAGGTCTGGGCAAAGGAAGGGACCTGGGTCCCAGAGGGCAGGAGTGGGGCGCTGTGCAGCTGGGGGTGTTTCTTTTTGGGGAGGGAGAGCTGGGGAAAGTGCTGAATGTCTGGAGGGAGGGGAAGGAAGACCCTCTGCCTTCCCCCAGCTCCCCAAGTCTTCATTCTCCTGCCCTGCTGGAAGCTGGGGGTGAGCTCCCCGCTCTAGAATGGCTGCTCTGGCCTGAGGGGTGAGCTTGTTCCTGCTCTGGGAAGCCACAGCAGAGGGGCAGGGCTGGTGCTGAGGGATGCTGACGCTGTTCTCTGCCTCCCTGCAGGGCTGGGGGGAGCATCGGCCAGCGCCTCGCCCCCGATCTCCTTCAACGAAGCGCTGCAGTACTTCCAGACAGCCGACCTCTCCGAGTGCAGGGTACGGGCAGGGCCCTGCGCTCTGGCCCTCTCTCGGGGGGGTAGTTTTAGTAAGTAGGTGAGGCAGGAGAAGCAGTGCTCCCCTCTCTCCCCTCTGCCTTCCCTCAGCTTGGCTCTTCGCATCATCCTGTCCCTCCTGGCTCACCTGTGGGTTTTCCTCCTGCCCAATTCCCCGAGGGACTGCCCCTCATTGTGTCTTCGTGTGTTTTCTCCTTCACAGAAGAAGGTCCAGGTGACGGTGCGCAGGCAAGGCCTGGCTGCTCTGGTTCATTTCCTCTTTGGCCCTCCCCGGCTCCAGCCGCAGCTGCAGGGAGAGCGGGAGCTGGCTCTGGCCATGGCGCAGTGTGAGTGTCCCTCTGCATCCCTGTGTGAGCCACCAGCATCACCTTTATCATCACAGCTTCCTGGAAAGCCACTCTGGAGGGGCCAGGGCTCTGGGGGGGTCTCTGTCCACTTGTCTCAGAGGGCACATCTCCCTCTCCTTTGCTGCGGACGTGCTCGCTTTTTGGGGGGGAGCCGTGGATTTCGTGATCCCTCCCTGCGGTGCCACAGTAGCTGTTCCACGTGCACACCTTGACATGGCACCGGGTGGGTGCTTGATGGCTCTGCAGCCCTTCCCACTCCTCGTTTCATCACCAAAACAAACACGACATGAGTCTTTCTGATGCCTCAGTGCAGTGTGTGTCCTGTCTGGTTGTTGCCTGGTGGGTTGCACACGCTGAACACATGGAAACTCCTCACCTGGGGTTGGTGGTGGTTCCCTCTCCAGCGCTCCTTTGGCCAGCAAAACTTCACATGATACCAGAAATATTCATTACCCCCACACTCATGCAGTACAGTCATATTATTTGTGTTTCTGCGCCTCAAAGACATTTTTCTCCTTCCCTTCTCCCCTCCAGCCAGATAAACACAGCCAGGACATTTTCCTTGTGGCCATAAGCCATTCCCAGCTGCGGGATTCCAATTCCAGGTGGACTCAGGCTTCACCCTGCAGCGGGTGGTGGTTTCTCTCCCCACCATGTGTCTGTGCTGGCACTTGAGGCCAGCAGGGCAGGGATGCTGAGGGGTGTTTTCTCTCTGGCAGGTGGTTTGGATGATAACGAGAGGGTGCACATGAGAATCCTGCAGACCATTTACAAGAAACTGACCTGCTCCAAGCTGGGCTGCCCACGCTACGGGGCGCACTGGGAGGAGCTTGGCTTCCAAGGTAAGGCAGGGGGAGAGAGACCCCTGGGGCAAGCCTTTGCCAACAGAGATGGCACTGGTCTCAATCCCTGCTCCAGAGGCGGGGCAAAGGCTTTGCTGCTCATTCCCTCTCCCTCCACACAGCTGCTGCTCTTTCACAGCATCGTTGGGGTTGCAAAAGACCCTTAAGACTGAGTCCAACCCTTAATGCTGCCAATTACACTAACCCGTGTCCCTCAGCACCACGTTTACAAGTCTTTCAAATCTCTCCAGGTATGGTGACTCCACCCTGCCCTGGGCAGCCTGGTCCAGCACTTGACAACCCTTTCTGTGAGGAAATTTTCCCCAATATCCAATCTAACCCCCCTGGTGCAACTTGAAGTCCTTCTCTTGTCCCATTCAGCTCCCTCAACTGCTCCTCCAGAGCCCTCACCACCTCAGTTGCCCTTCTCTGGACATGTTCCAGCCCCTCAATGTTTTTTTTTGGAGCGAGGGGCCCAAAAATTAAACACAATATTTGAGGTGGGGCTTCAGATCAACACCCAACCTGGCGTCGCCTGCAGATTTGCCGAGGGTGCGCTCCACCCCCTCATCCAGATCATTGATTAAAATGTTAAAGAACTGGCCCTGATACCAAGCTCTGGTGCCATAGCAGCGCTGTGTTCTCCCAGCCAGCTGTCACAACCAGTACAACATCTGGACTGGTTGGCCAGATGACACCAATACCCGCTGCCACAGTTGCCTGTGTCCAGCTGGTGCAGGCATAACAAGAAGTAGTCGGGATAACTGCTTTGGCCAGGCCATTAATGCTCTTCATTAGCGAGCAATCTCTGCGCCTAATGAGCCATCTCTGGAGGGCTGGTTTATTAACAAAGCGCAGGTCAGGGCTCTGTCACGAAGGTTGCGTCGCAGGTTGCTTTCAGCCTCGGCTGTAGGAGAAAAACAGTGTGATTAAAGCTGTCACGAGCGGCCGCATGGAGTTTCCAGGCTGGTTCACTTGTGAGTTAAATAGGCCGGGTTTTAATGAAGGCTAAAACCCTGGGCAGGAGGGGAATGGCTCCCACTCCTCCGTCCTGACGCGTACATGACTGGTTTTAAGCGTTAATTTACCAGCCAAACGTGCCCTGGAATGGGTAGACCTTAAAGCTACTGATTCATAGAAGCAAAGAATGGTTTGGGTTGGAAGGGACCTCAAAGCCCATGCAGTGTCACCCCCTGCTCTGGTCAGGGACACCTCCCACCACACCAGGTTGCTCCAAGCCCCCTCCAACCTGCCCTTGAACCCCTCCAGGGATGGGGCAGCCACAGCTTCTCGGGGCAACCTGGGCCAGGCTCTC